GGGAGGGGGGAATGTTCCCTTGTTTTAAAAGTATAAATGTTCTGTTTTGTATTTTTGTATATTTTAAATTTTAAGAGGAAAAAAAGGAAGAAAAAAAACGACACGATTCTGCAATTTATTCTCAGGTATTCTCACACATCTCAGGGATGGAAGAATCTTGGCAGCTCTGGGGCTGAATGGATCAGCATTTAACAGCACAAAGAATAAGAGAGCCTCCGTTTTTAAAACATTTTGTAGCTCTAACAATCTCTGTGTGTGAGTGCATTGATGTTTCTAAATGCTGTATTTTAGTAGATTTCTTCTTTTCCCTCTTGGATACAAGTGAAGGTAAAAGGATTTGTGGCACAGCTCAGAGGAAAGTCTCCATGTAGAGATACTTCTGTGGGGCTTCCTTCCTTTCCCCCCCAAAGTTGCATAAGCTAAAGGTTTCTCCAAGGACTGCCTGTGGACCAACAAGCCAAAGGGAAGGATATCCCACAGCAGTGCATTATATTGGTGATGTAATTTATACCCTAGTATAGTTTTGGTGCCTGATAGGATCTCCTCCTCTGTTCCACCTATCCTTAAGCCTTTTGACTCATTGACCATTCCTGCATTTCATCTCTAGTAGAATTTCTTGTTCATGCATGTTAGAGTCCAGACCCATATTATCCTTTAACTGTCAGTTTCATGTAATGTTCAGATTCTGCAAGTCTTAAGAAACTGAGATAGGAAAGGGGAGAATCTGTAAATTGGTCAGAAAACTTTGACACCTCTTGAAAGTAGAGAAATGTACTTGCTGTATCAGGCACATCAGCAGACATGTCCACTTATCCAGGTCAGGATGTCTTATACTCCAAGCCCCATGAATTATTTGAAATAAACAAAAAAAAAATCCATCTCCCCTTTCCATATTTTTGTCAGGAAAAGAAAAAGAGAAACTATATTTCATTTGCTGCCTTCTCACTCTGCCCCAAACCCACAGTTGAAGGATGTCACCTCACTCTGCTGAATAGTAGGGCTTGCCTGCTGGAGGTGATATTGCAAGCAGGAAAGGATCTGCAAAGATGGGAGAGTTAGGCAGCAATTGAGAGCATGTAACACTGCAGATGTTGATAAATCATAGCTGTATTAGCTATGCTGGCTGGGACACTGAATTGTATTTTGGAG